GGTTATACATTCGAACTCTTTAAGTTTAAAAAAAATAGGGAATTTAAAGGATTTGAGTAGTTTTTCACTACATACATAGATATATAAAAAAATCGGGTAGTAAATTTTGGAAATTAAAAAACTGAACATACGTACATATAAAATTGATTCTGACAAGTGGATACAATGGGCCGTATGAATAAAACTTAGCATTTGCTTTTTCTTAAACCTTTAGACCTTTTACTGAAATTTATTTGAATAAATCGATTAAAAGGTGGGAAATTTTGAGAAATTTACACGGTTTTGGTTAAAGCTTAGACGATATTTTTATATAAAAATAACAAAAAAAAAATATCTCGAAAAACATTACGAATATTTGAAGAAAATCAAACCGTGGTCATTTGTTTGAGTCACTTAATAGATAGAAGAGTTATATAAAAAAAAACTCATATCTGAACATTCCGGTTCGGAAAAGTGATTAAAACTCGAAATTTTAAGGACTTTTTCTCAGTTTTCCCAGATTGAAGATTTTAAGCATTCTTTTCAATTGAAATTGGTAGTCCCAGACATATATTTTCCTTCAAAAGGCCTTTGTAGAGGTTTTTAGGTATTAGGAATATGTATTTGCAATTAATTTTTGCCAAAATGGCCGCTGGTGCGTTTAGGTGCAAAAAAAAACATGAAGAAACATTGTTTGTCCTTTTCTTCATGTTCCTACCATGTTTCCTGCATCCTACCGCAGCCAACGGCCATTTTAGGCAAACAAAAATTGCAAATGCAGATTCCTTTGACCTCAAAACCCCTTGAAAAGCATTTTACTACATAGTATAGATATTTGTATTTAAATAAATTTTAATTGTTTTAAAAGCAACTCTGCGACCACCAACTTCAAATTGAAAAAAAACGCTTAAAAGCGCTAACGTGAGAAAACTTTTCTATATGCTATCCAGACTTTCAGAAAAACTTAGTTTCATAAATAACGAAATATAACTCCACATCACTGCCGTCTGTCAGGGCACAGTTTTGATGAGATCAATTGCGCCGTTAATTTTATAAAAGCCTGGCTAGCTATACAACAAACACCATATAAATCCCCTTTTCAAACTTTATACAAAAGTAATAAAAATTCGACAAGTTTTTTAACTTTTTATACAGAACAAAAAAATTGTCAAAAATCAACGGTATTTTCCAGCCACTTGAAACTTGCACTTTATTATCCTAAAATTGAATGGGCTACAAAACTGCATACCAGAAATTTTTCTAAAAATTCTGAAAAAAAGGTTTAAAAATTTTGTGGATTTTGTCGATTTTTATAATTTTTGTATAAAGTTTGAAAAGGGGATTTATATGGTGTTTGTAGTATAGCTAGCCAGGCTTTTATAAAAAAACATTCAAACATAAAATAAACCATGGAAATAAGCCAAAGCTCTTCAAATTAAGACGAGTCTATTCTAATGACCGCCAGTGTATGTAGACTTTACAACTTTAACTCTAAGCTAAGCGTTATTTGCTTTTTTACTCATTTGAAGATTTTTCTTGATTCGTTACTTTCGCTTAAAAACAATCTCATATTTCAAACGCACATTTAGAAATGTTTTTTTTTTTCAAATCGTAAGTATCTACTATCCTGCAACGAGTGTGTCTTTATCTCTTCGCACTCGACACTTGAAGATCAGTCATCAAGAAAATTTTTCTATTGCTTAACGCAGTCATCTGCAGAATGAATCAGTGGGTGCAGTTGAAATCGTATATACTTACTTATGTGTCATGGATCCACTCTTCACAGAGCGATTTGTCAAGATGCCAAAAACGCATACACAAAAGTAAATACTTACATATGTGTCTAGGTTCTTATACATACGTATGTATGTAAGTAAATATGTACATATGTACATATGGATGTATGTATATGTATACGCATATATAAGAAAATTTAATGCTCTCGTTTTTCTCGACGGTATTGGTATTGGTGTCGTTGAGCTTTTTCGAAGATTTCATTGCAGAGTGCCACAAGGTCGCACTGGCCATTCGCCAGTTGCCACTTGGCGTTTGGCCATCGGGCACGAGCTGGCCACACTTGGCAAGTAATAAGATGATGATTAAACTTTTTGTTTTGGCATCCAAGGATAAGTGAGGATGACGAATGCGAATTTAGTCATTGCACTTTTCGGTTTTTTGTTTAAATTTTTTTATCCTAAAGCAGACCAACTGTTTTAATCATTTTTTTTTTTGTTAAAGGTCATCAATAATTAATACGTTTTTTAGATTATTTAATTATAAATTCAGTCATATCAACATCGGTTGTTTTACAATACAATTTTGCAAGATAAATTAAGTTGCAACAACACAGCCAATTTATGTTCTCTTCGCTGATTGCCTATTTCCTTATGAATGAAGTCAAGTTTTTTTGCCAAAAATGTACGTACATATTTAAAATATTTTTTATTTAATTTCTTTTATCAAATTTAATCTCTTCACAAACCAACTTTAGCAAACCATAGTAGAAAGCGTAGCAAAAAACTTCGTACTGCTTACGAAAATTTTGCTCAATAAATTTTTCTTGACCATTTCTTGGGTATTTTTATATTCGTCGAACTGAAGAAATATTTGCAAATAATAACATAAACACAGATATGGTTTTTATTTAACCGTAACTTCAGTTGCATTTCTGCTTGGATAAATTTAAAACAACTAGTTTCTCTCTGCGGGAAGGCATTGGTGTTATTGCAAAGATTAAAAATAACTTATCTCAAATGGAGAATAACAAATATTTAAAAACATTAAAATGACCAGCGCAGATATCTATTTTTTGAGAATATTAATCAGCAATTGATTGTCCATTGTAATGTTTCAATCCTTGAAATAAAGTGAATAAAAAACAAAACATTAAACTCTACTTAAATTTTGTTGTTTGGGACCTATCGGCCATAGATGATATCAATGCTGTTGTTAGAAGAATTTACTATCCAATTATAAAATTAAAAATGACATCAGTGGTGACAGTTAAGTCACAGACAAGTTCCAACATCAGAAAGTAATTTTTGTGAAAACTGCTGCCAGCAGGCTTATATCTAAACAATTAATGAATATTTTGTGAATATTTTCCTTCAAGAAAACTTTTTTCTGAAGCGTTCACTCCTCGGGGCAGGAAATGGCGAATATTCAAGACTGCTACTGCCATTATAGCCCAATCAATCTGGCACAATTTTAGGCCGCACTCTCAAATAATTTTATAAAGGATAAATACTATGCCGTATTGATCGGAAAGTTATGTTGAATAAAATAATGAAATGTCTCGATTCTAAATTTGTCAGGAAATATTTTTACTTAATTAAAAACTATTAAAAATTAGCGCATCGCTGAACATTAACCTTAAAGTCACTGACGATGCTCGTTCATCGGATGAAATGGAAAGAAATATGTATAATTTCTCTGCATAATTATAGGGGGAAGTAGTACGCTAAGATTAATCACTTTCGTGTAATCAATTGTTATTTGTTGTTATTTATTAAGTTTGATCATAATCAAACGGGTGCATACATGACGTATGAGTAACATTATTTCCTGCTCATGTGTACATATATGTACGTACCTAAGTATGCATGTGTTTCAAACAAAACAAATGAATCGTTTTATTTAACAATCGATTACGGAAAAGGGATAAGTCGCACTGTAGTACCTTCTACTGTTATGTAGATGGTTTCTTTCTGTGACTGATTAGAATATGATCTTGAATTTTGAAAATTCAAAATGGCGGATACAATATGGCGAACGACGACTATATAACAAAAATATAGATTTTTATAAAGCTTGGTATCCAGATGTGGTCATCGTCACCGATTTCGAAATTGACACTAAGAAATTAGAAAATTATTACATATTTAATTACACAGGAGGGAGGCAAAACACGGTAATTTAATTTTGACCTCTAGATAACGGTACCGTTTTCAGAAAATCCGTATCACATCAAGACTTTGAAGTTTTATGAAAAAAAAATTAATAATTTAACAGGGAAAAAATTAAAAAAAAAAAACATTTTTTTTTCGTTTACACTAAAGCCTTTTCTTTTACGAAAAAACAAGCTACTAGCGAAGAAACGGATGAATAAATAAATGAGTGGTGAAAATGCGCAATGATTTGTTAATGATACACATGTGCTGGCAAAATGTTACTCATACGCCATGTACTACGAGTATGCCATGAAACTATACAAATTGTGCAAATTGTGCCTATTTACTTATTTTTAATCATTTTCATTTAAAATGTAATTCAATCTTTAACAGAAACCACAATAAGAAAAGTTTAAAAGCTGGCTCAAATTGCAAAAAAAATTTATCAAACTTCAAAATATTGTCATCAAAATTTCAAAATTTTTAATTAGAATATTTAGAAGGGTGTTTCAGTTTTTTTTTCATATAAAAAAAAAAGTTTGACCATGTGTTATATGGAAGAAAATCCGCAACACCCTCCACAAAAAAAATTCTAAAAAATCAGCGATAATTTTTAACGACTAGAAACTGGCACTTTCTTATGCTACAATTGAATGGGCTTCAAAACTGCATACCCGAAAACTTCCTAAATTTTCTAATTAAAATATTTGAAATTTTGATGAAAATTTTTGGATTAATTGATTATTTTTTTTTGCAATTTGTGCAAGCTTTTGAACTTATATTATTGTGGTTTCTGTTATAGATTGAATTATATTTTAAATGACAATTAATAAAAATGAATAAATAAACATAATTTGCAAACAATATCATTTTGAATTTCATTGCTAATTAGTTGATCGCATCTGTACATATATCGTCGCCCGTATGCCAAAATCATGAATGTGTAAAAATTTAAATTTTGAGGACTCAAGTTTGATTTTTTTTTTTTTTTGAGACTTAACATTTATGCAATTGAAATTGTAAAATATGTGGTTTTCGTGTACGCATGATATTTTGGGTTTATGTATAACATAGAAAATTCAAAGATTAATCACGTCAACCCAATAACTCAAAACTGATAAATTTACACATTTATGCTTCTGGCATAAGGATGACGATATGTTGTCTTACCTGCTCATATCGCATAGAATAAAAATCATCCGCCACACAGTGGTCTTCGTAGAGAATCTAGCGGGACAAAAAAATGATTTTAACAGATTGACGTTGATGCATTTGTGCACCAGTTTATGGGACCACTGACTACAAATCTGCAATCAGGCTGCAAAAATTCAATATGGCGGATCCAATATGGCGAACAAATTTTTTTTTTTGAATTTGCTCTTAACTTGTAAGCCGAGGGTATTTGGGGTTTCTGATTATGAATTTGACCATGATATTTTAAAATTTAAAATGACGAATCCAGTATGGCGGAATAATTTCTAAAATTTATTGAATTTGCTCGAAACTTTTTACTCGGGGGCTTTTGGTAGTATTTAGAAGTTTTTATGAAAACTGATTAGGAATCTGGCCGGTCCAATATGGCGGCTATTGGGTTCCTCTTGAACTCAAATCTCAAACAAAGTTGGCGATCATTTTCTGTCTAATTTCTTATAATATCTCAGTCGATTTTTGGCATTTTTGGATTTTGGCAGATGACATTTTTTTCAGGAGACTAGGGATACAAATTTCGTGGTTTTACGTTACACTGCATATTTTAATATTTTGTTTTCTTAAATAACACGGTGCTACAACAAAAAAATAGTTATGAAATACACCCGAAACAAAACCTTGTGTAGGTTGTAGGTAAGGTCGAATACAACATGAAAATAGGTCCCTTATAATTCCAGAATCCTCCATTTTTTTATACCATAAAACCGTTATTTTCGTACTTGATGCACTTATCTCTTAATAGCTTGACTATTTTCCATCCGATTTTAAAAATCGAACAAGTTTTGAAAAGAGGATTTATAGACTTTTTGAACGATGGACAGAAGTCCATAAAACACAATTGCTTTCATTTATTTATTTACATGCATACATGTGTATGTATATATGTATGTACGTACATTAAAATTTTGTTTTTTCAACCGAAATATATTTCTTTGGTTTGAGTGAAAATAAAAACTAACAAATGAAATGATGGCGGGAAAAATTTTCAAAATGCTAGCAAACGTCAAAATCTCTAAAGCTGGCTCTCAGCGGTGATACCTTATAAATATTTTTATCAAGGATCAAACCTCAGCTTTCGTTAAAGAATCAAAATGAAAAAAATAAAAATCGTGTCCTCTACTCAAAACACGCAAATTTATTTTTCACTTAATTTTTTTTTCAAAAATTCATATCATCCATCGAAAGGGCAAGAAAAAATCTATATGTCTATTTTCACTGCTTCCCTCAGTACAATTTTTTTTTATCTCAGAGTTCCCTGCGCGAAATTTTTAACAAACGTTATTGTGTTGCGTTTTTCATCATTCCGTATCCTCTCCCCATGAGTATATTTTATTAAAAAAAAGTCTCAGGCATGCCCAACGTACAAACTTATCAAGGCGAATTCGAATAACATGGTGGCAGCCGTCCAAAAAAAATTAAATTTATTTTGTTTGTGACTTTTAGCATAGTGATTGTCAAAATTTCCTTGTGAAAAGAAAAAAATCAAAACGTAAACAAAGAACTCGTTTTGATAACCCCTACGCCCAGGCCAGTAAAAAAAAGTAAAATCAGCTGTTCTAAGAACTACATCGCATATAAAGTATTTATATACATATGTACATATGTATATGTATATTACACACTGAGGCATGGCACATACATATTTGCGACGTTGGTCCTTCGCCTCAAAAATAATATTACCATCAATCATCAATCTCAAAAGTAGGTCAGCATTTGACACCATTAAACATTATTTAAAATATAAATAGTAGTCTAAAAAACATAGCAAAGAAATATTCGAAAATTCAGCAGATATAACAATGTGCGTGCCCCTATTTGATTCACAAACATACATATGTATGTATCTAGGTGCATACACACACGTACTATATGTAGTCGACTCACTCTAACTGCTCTTATAAAATTGTACGAACACATTACCCACTATTTTTCGCACGTATGTACATACATACATATGTATGTGTTTTCAATATGAAAATCGTGGAAGCTCGCCAACTGTTGGCATACGATCATGTATGTGTAGTTTTCGAAACTGGGAGTAGCATGTGCGAGAGTGGGAGAGCCTATTCATTATAAGCGCTTTCGAATTTGAAACATCCCACTATTTCTATTTATAATTCTATTTATAAAATTTCTGATTCGAACATCGAAAATATCTAGTCAAAGTATGTCAAGCAGTAATGAACTTTTGTGAAACTAACGGTGAATCACTACAAGCTGCAAGGACGTTCGTTGCTACTATACATACACTGAAAGATCAAATGCCAATAATGTGTACATATAAATATTGGCAACAGTGATCGAGAGAAAAATCTGTATACACAGATTTATTAATTCGAATGGAATTTCTTGTACACCTCTTCTCCATCTCCGTTTACCCATTCTGTTTTATTAATTTTTACTGCTGTTTTACTTTTCTGTATTTATTTTATTAACACTAATAACATGTCCCCACCAAAAAGTTAACCATCTCATATCGAACTTAACCACAACACTAACTATTGCTGTCCACACTGCGGTTTGAGGTTTATAAAGCAGTACAAATGTAGATAACAGTGTTCGGACCTCCAAAAATCGATTCAGGACTAAAAAATCTGGGCAAAAACAAATTTTCCGTACTAGATTGAATTTTTTATTTTCGTTTCTGACATTAATTGTTTGACTTAAATATTTTCTATTCATGCAAAAATAAGAACGCGAGGCAATGTAAGGATAATATGTTAAACATTTAGGTAATATTTAGCATTTTCTATAAAGTAGAACGTTTCCAACACTTAATTTTTTAAAGAGCAACAGGATCTAAACTTTTTCTACTTTATATAAATTTCATTCTACATATATTTTTTAACGACTTAAGTAAAGTTCTGCATCCGCCAATTTCTACAGCCATACATCAAAAATAACGAAGTTACTTTATTGATGCATTGCTATGAAAGAGTTACTTTTTAACAGTGAGAACTTTCGATTTTTTTACTGAAACCGGTGGTGAACACTCAAAAAACGGCCCAAGAGGGCATAACAT